ATTCAATTTTGGGTTCATTGGTGAGATCAACACCGAAGTGTTAAAGGATAAGAGTGATAAAGGAACCAAAGGGTAGAAATTTGACATGCTTTGAAGCCATATTATTGAGGAAAACAGTTGCCCAATCTACTTTTATTTTGGCAAAAATGGCATACACAGCATTTATCTTGTCAGAAGCAAAGTGATCGAAACTACCGGTTTTAGGAATCAAGTTATGAGCAACGATTCTAGCAATGAGTTTGGCATTTGGATTGAGAGAATTATTGTTCATAGGATAGGAGCAACCGGGCTTAAACATGAGTTGGTTTACAGCTGGATCACCAAGCTCAACAGACATGAGGTCGACGTCACCTGTTCGGATTTTAAGAATCCCCGCAAGTTCGTTGGCAGAAAAGGATATTTTAACATTTTTAACAGATGAAGTAATGGTCTGACGACCATCAGCAGAGGATACTACAGACAGGTTGGCATAAAACAGATAAACTAGAAAAGGATAATAAGGAACTTTATCTTCCTCATCTAATAGCCTAGCCAACCCAACATCATGAAGAATTGTGAGAGTGTCATACATGGCTAAGTGATTGAATTTGATATATCTGGTTGGAATAATTTTCAATTTGCACAACTCCCTGTATTTTTTAACAAGAGATTTAAACAAAAGAAAATCTTCATAATGAGAAGCCTTTTTAGAGGATGAACTAGACTCAGGTTTTGATCTCTTTTTGGGAGGCATGATAGATTAGGGTTTTGATCAGATATGATATAAATTAGAAACCCCTGGAAACAACAAAAGGAAATTTAGAGCAGATTAAGAACTACCCTAAAACAGAAACCCTAGATTGAAAAATTATAAACATAAGAACACAGAAATCAAGAGATAAGGGAAGAATTTACCCACAAAATCTGACAGAGATCGAAGGAGGATGAGAGCACCGCAGTCGATCAATAGATGCAGTCGACCGATAAATACCAGAATCGACAGATTTGGGAGAAATTTCGAATTGGGGAGAAAATGAGGAGTCGGATGTTATGAGAGATGAGAGAAGGGCTGGGATTGACTCAATGATAGGATCAATGGTGATGAAGAGTTCGGGTCCAAAAATAGTTATCCAATAAAAAACCGAAACCCGATAAAATCACAAATCGCTGCTGAAAATTCTCTGTCGGTCGACCGACGCGGTCGACCGAAACAACTTACAGAGACTTCGTCGGTCGACCGGGTCGGTCGACCACGAGAAGATAAAATGTGCAGGCAACTTAAAAACAAGATTTTGAAAGAATTTTTAATTTGAACCTTTAAGAAATTTGTTTTATAATATACCAAAAGTTTTATAAGATATATATAAATGTTTTTAGCTATAAGATCATGCAAATAATTCTTTTTTGCAAAAAAATACAATTTGTCATTAACAACTCAAAAACCAATTATTCAAAATAAGAACAAAACAAACCATCAAAAACAAAAGAAATACTATAAAAATCATTTTGGTACCCAAATCATTTTGGTACAACTAGAACTTGGGACATGACCCCTATCATTTAAATCCAAGGCCCTAGGGTTATGAACCCGTTTGAGCGTATTTTGTGCACCTATACGATCAAAGCAAAAATTAATCCAAGGCCCTAGGGTTATGAACCCGTTTGAGCGTATTTTGTGCACCTATACGATCAAAGCAAAAATTGTAAATGTGACCCATACGATTGCAATTTGTGCAATGTAGAGGTTTGAATTGTTTACGTTGATCAAAATGGAATGCACGTGGTTTATTTGCAAAAATAGATTTTTCTTTGTAATTATTTTGCAAACGAGAATTTCTTTTCAAATCGAAACAAAACATAGCCAAATGACCAAAACGACCACAATAATCACATTTATACACATGAGCATGTTTATGATTTACACTATGTGTGTGTACATGTGTATGTGATGAAGAAGCTTGATGGGATGCACAATCATGAATATGTTTGTCAATTTTTGGTGCATTATGACAAAATTGAGCTAAATGGCCTTTAAGACCGCAAATAGAACATTTGTGAATTTTGTCATACATATGTGCATAGTGAATAGGTTTCTTGGAAGAATTAACATTAACCTTTGCACATAAGTCCATAAGCTTTTTATTATTAGCAATACAAGTATTTAGTGTTGAATCTAAGGTAGATATTCTTTTTCTCATTTGATTCAACTCATCATTGTGCATACAAGCATTGCTACTAGAAGTAGGATAAACAAGATTACTCATCATAGATTTCAACTTATCTACTTCTAACATAGCATCACGTTTTTCATGAAGCAAACTAGCATTTTCAATTTTCAAATTTTCATTGCATTCTTTAAGAATTATATTTTCATTTGCAATAAAATTAAACTTAGTAGCTAGTGTTTCATGAGTGGATTTCATATTAACATACTTACTCTTTACATCAATATAGCAATTGTGTAATTTTTCAAACTCAAGAGCAAGTTCATCAAAAGTAATAATATCATCGTTATCGCATACCTCACTAGGGTTATCACCTAGTGGTATTGTATATGGGGATGAGGCTTCCTTAGAACTCAAAGCGGGATTTTTCAACGCTTGTTGAATAGCCTCCAATTTCTCTTCATGTGCTTCAATAAGTTTCCATAAAGCGTAAGCACTATCAAAATTAGCAAATTTGTTAGAAAACAATGAGTGAAAAGCGTTAATCAAATATTCTAACAAAAGCTTATTCATGTTAAACAATCTTTTATCATTCTCACACCATTTGGATTTTTCCAAAATGGGAACAACATAGGCATCGCTTTAAATCTCAAGTTTAAGTCCCTTGAGTTTGTTCTCATTGCCAAGTTTGTCCTTCATCTACCTTAGTCTCCAGGTAAACTTCATGATTCAAGCCTTCAATTTGATTTTAACCCCAAGTTCTTTCCCCAAACCTAGGGCTTCGGGTTTGATTGTGTCTGAGGCGATTGCCGTGGATTCTTCTTTCGCAAATGGTCGTCTTCTTCATCTTAGGTTAGTACCGAACCCATGAACCCTTGTGTTAGACCCTAGAGAGGGGGTGATTAAGGTCTTATGCTAATCTAATCTCAATTAAATGCTAATTAAAATTATGTTGATCAATTTGATCTTGCAAGAAGAGATATGATATGGATATGAACAAATAATGATGAATAAAATATACGCTAAGCAAAACACAAACACACGATATGTTTACGAGGTTCGGTCACCACGACCTACGTCCCCGCTCCTCACCTCGAGGAGATATCCACTATCACAATCCGGTTTGGAAGCTGGAACTTCTACACACTCGGTTTGCAAGATTACCGAAAACTCTCACACTACACAAACACTATGCAATCACACTTTACACACTAAGTGTAGGAATCTACCCCGTGTCCTCCTCCTCAAGTGCTCGATTACTACCTCTCCTTGGTTCATCAATCGACGCCACTCCTATTGGATTCGACCCCGTGTCTCGCCTCACACTTCTCTCGGTGTACAAGTGTATTACAAGTGATTCTCACAAATAAAAGTTAAATACAATGATTTGTTCTCAAATAACAAGTGAGAACACAATGAAGCTCACACTCACTAAATCACATCCCACAACCCACACTATATGGTATGAAAATATTAAGCTCAATAAGTGTGTGTGATAACAGTGAATGAAACTCAATAGATATAGCTAAATGAAATGAAAATGAAATAATAAGCTATATAAGAGTTTAGAAGACTTCTCAAACAAGAAGAGCAGTAGAGATGATTCCAATAAGATTTGAAGGCCACTTCTTGTTGTAGAAAAACTTTTCTTGAAAACTGATTGATGAAATCAACTATTAAATAGCTCTTAAACACAATTAATATTTTGTTAAACAACAAACTTGGATTTCTTAGATATATAAAGAAAGAGCAGCAATGGGGTATATATAGCACCCCAATACAACAGTAAGAAATAAGTAAAAGACCAAAAAATCAGTTTGAAAACAGCTGAAAAAACTAGCTGTTATAAAAGTTCTGACAACTCGGCGGTCGACAGGTCCGGTCGACCGCGAAGCTCAAAAACTCAGAAAATAACATTTTAAAGCTGGTGGTCGAAAGTCTCTGGATGTTTTCACGGTCGACCGTCACGGTCGACCGCGAGCACAAAAAAGGCAAGCTCAGAAAAATTGCAACTGGCGGTCGACCGCGGCGGTCGACCGGAATCTGATACATTGCATATTGATAGGTTTTTGGGCTGTTTTGAAAATTCATTAAAAATATCAAATCAAATCCAAAAATAGTGAAACTTTGGGGAAAGTTTCTAAATGATGAAATAAACATGTTTGAAAAGGAATTTTTGGAAAATCAATTTTCGTTTGTGAAAACTCCCTGTTTTTGAAAAGTGTTCAGAAAACCTGTTTTTCGTGAACATGAAAATTGACATAGAGCTTGTAAATATGTATATATATATTGTGTATGTATTATATGTATATAATGAAGTATGAAAGAGCTGTAAACATGAGATAAAAGTTAGTAACAACGTTTGATGAAAAATCATTTATATGATAGAAAACGTCAAAAATCGTGTTAAGTGTACATATATGAGCTTAGATATAATCATACAATATATGTAAGTAAACCAAACATATACCTAGGTAAATCCACACATATGAAATTGAATCTTTAACGCTGGATTGACGTGTGTTGAAATACCTGAAAAGAGAAACATAAACACAAAAACTATAGAATATATTTGCGATAAATTGTTTGACAAATCATCATCAAAACTATAGGGTCAACAATGTATACTCTGTACCGTTTTCAAATCTCGGTGTCTTTAATTTTCTGCCTGTTCTGTTCTTAACCATTTCTTTCCACTTCTTGAATGTCTCGAATACCTTATTATTATGCTTAAGAAAATAAATCCAAACATACCTAGAATAATCATCTATAAACAAGACAAATTTCCTGGAACCACCCGAGGAAATTGTCGGAGCTGGACCCTAAACATCTGTATGCATATAATCTAATATACCTCTAATTTTGTGCTTGCTTTTCAAGAACTGGACCCTGTGCGCCTTTCCGTACACATAATCCTCGCAAAAATCCATGCAAGGTTTCTTCATGTTCTTCAGCAAACGTTCTTTGCCGAGCAGATCTAGACCCTTCCTTGATATCACTAAGTCCCTCCGAGATATAGCTTGCCTTTTCCTTGCCTTCTCTTCTCTCGGTTTTATTGTTGTTCTTCTTCTCACCTACTCTCTTATTAGGACAATCAACCTTGAAATGCCCAAGCTTACCGCATTTAAAACACGATCTTCTTGCAAGAGGTCTTGATTTCGATCTAGGCTTTCCTCTCTTACATTTTCCTCGCTCATTGCTCCTTCCTCTTACAAAAAATCCATGTGCTTGCTTCTTGTTACCACTAGTGGTCATTTCACTAGTTGTAATTTTTCGAAGGTCATCGGCTAGAAGCGCCGTTCTAGTCTCATCCATCTTCAAATTATCACCTACAAGTATCAATGTTTGTACCAGGTTTTCATAAGACTTTGGTAAAGAAAGAAGTAACAGAAGTGCTTGATGCTCATCTTCTACTGCCACATCAATGTCCTTCAAATCCGATATGATCCTATCGAAGCCAAATTTGCTAATGAATGTATGGAAAAGCTTGGGCGATGATGTCGATCAAACATGGGACACACAGGTAGATGAGACCGATAAGACTATATGCGAGCAAAAAACAAGACTGCACATGAAAAAGAAAGTCAACGAGGTTGCATGTGATAAGAGGTCAATATAGCGACGTGCAAGAATAAAATATCGACGAGAATATGTGTGAGAGATTGAGATCAATGAAATGCACACAAGATGAGAAAAGCCTACGAGATTGCCGGTGAGAAGATGAAATCGACAAGGTTTGAGGAGACTTTTGATGCAGCAACAACGAGATCTTCAAGAGGAGATTAAAACGAAAGCATTGGAATGTTGAAGTTGCCTAGTAGAATCACAAAGAAACTTTACGACAAAATCCCCTCGGCGGCACCTAGACTACGAACTGAGAGGGGTCTCCAAGGCAAAATCACTCTGCTATGATTTCATGTAAAATAGGAGAAAAATATTTCTTATCGGAACCTAAATTACTTTATCCAGTGATAATTTTTGTAAAATTATTTAAAATAAAATCATATGCTGAGAATTAAAAGTTATAATTTTATAGTTCAAAAACCTCAAAAAACCTCCAAGGACGTCTCATTTGTAGTGATCCCTCCAATTAAATTATACATCCACGACGGCGAAGTAGACTCACGTAGGGCTGAGCACGATTCGGTTCGGGTCGTTTTTTACCAAATTTTGAACAACCGAACCGAACCGCATATAATTCAAAACCAAACTGAACCGTTGCAAGTCGGTTCGGTGCGGTTTGGTTCAGTTTGTTCGGTTCTAACTTCATTTTCAGAATGATTAAAACAGTAGACTTGCCAAATACTAAATCAAATAGAATATATCGTGACGGGTAAGGGATCCCATGAATATTAAATAGTAGTATTTCAGGGGTTGCCGACTTAATTTGGAAAAACAATAGGGGAAAAAAGGAACAAAATCATCATCCATGAAAACATATATACCAGAAAACAAATTAAGGATCGTTATCAGAGCACAAACTCAGAAATCACAAGAGAATAAGAGTGCATAAATGAACAGGAAACTGATAGGCCGATATCTCAACTTACTAGCTGTTGTATCCAAGGAAATAAATCAAAATTAAAGAATAATCGCAGTTAGAAGCTTGAAGAAGAGCAAAAGATAAAGTTTATATCTCGGCCTCGGCGACGTCGACAGGTGCGGATGTCCCCCCAAAGCCGGAGACAGATCCTGAGCCTGAGGAGATGTTTCGGCCTCGGCCATGAAGACTGCGGAAGTGAAGAAGAGGAAGAAGAAGTGAGAGAGGTGCACCGTGGAACTGAGGACTGAGGAGTGAGAGAGAGTGAGAGAGAGGAACTGAGGAGGCGACTGGGAAAGTGGGAAGGGAAGTTTAGGCGTTTAGGGTTTGAGAGACTGAGATTGTTTTTTGGGACGGGTCGGGTTTGAGAAGAATGAATATTTAGACCATGGGGTATTCGGCCGGTTCGGGTCGGTTCGGGTTAAAAAGTTTTCAACCCGACCCGAACCGTCCTACTCTTAAAACCGATTTTTTCGGGTCGGTTCGGTCAGTTTTTTCGGTTTGGACCGAACCGTGCTCAGCCCTAGACTCACGCATCAATATTTCTTGAGTAAATAAACAAAACAAAGGCGTTAATTATGTAGACCTTTTTTCTGGTTCCCGGAGAACCCCATGTCACAATCAAAACCTTTGATTAAAATGTTGGCAGACGATTCTTGGAACCCCACAGCCATTCCCAGTCCCCCAAGCGCTTCCAAAGAGGGGTAATGTTGGCAGACGATTCTTGGAACCCCACAGCCATTCCCAGTCCCCCAAGCGCTTCCAAAGAGGGGTATTTCCGTCACATCACCCCCCTCAGTCCCACACCTGCTTCCAAAGAGGGGTATTTCCGTCACATCACCCCCCCTCAGTCCCACACCTCCACGAATTAGAGGCGCACAAAGCATCAATAATCGCCCTCGTGGGCCCCGCACGAGCGTGGCGACGCGCAGGAGGAGGAAAATATGGAACGCCAGTAGCTCTCCTCTCGGCGCTACGCTTTCCCCAGCGAAAGCTGGGAAAAGATCTCACGCTGACGGTTCTCCTGCCCCGGTAAATCCCCTCGCACCGAACTTGCCACCCGAAGTTCTACCCACTTGCCCTCGGGCCGCAGCGGCACCGCTGAGCACGGGAGGCTACTATCTGCCAACCACTGTGATTGAGCCACGTTTCGTCACTGCGTCTCGTCTCGTGCACAACGAGTACAAAGGCCCGAGCTTTGCTACTTCTCGAAAAGTTGTGAGCAGACATTTGTGGTTCGGATCCCTCCATCGTCTCGATTCACTAAAGCCCGTACCAAGTTCTCGATCTCGATCAGGTTATTTTTTTTTCTATTTTTGTGATTTTTTGCTGAACTAATTGAGGTCTAATTTTGTTTTTCTTTCTCCTACGTTTGAAGAGTTTCGGTGGTATATAATATTTTTGGTAAATTAAAGCGTATTTTCCTTTTGCGTAATTTAATTAAGAATTTTTTTACGGAATCAGATGTTGATCCTTCTTTCTTTGTTCAATTATGATATAGGAAGATAGAAATCTTTGATTGTTAATCAAAAGTTCAATTTTTTCCTTTTTTGGGTGTAATCACGAAAAATCTTATGGGAGATAATGTTGTATCCTCCTTCATTTGGAGAGATTCTGAATTTTTTAAATGAATTAATTGGGGTTTAATTTCCTTTTTCTTCCTCTTACATTTGAAGAATTTTTTTAGTATATGATATTTTTGGTGAATCCTGAGTTTTGAGTAATAACAATCTGTTTTCTTTTTCGTGGTTAGTAAGACAATTACTATAGAAGAAGATGTTGATCCTCCTTAGGTTGTTAAATTGTGATGCAAGAAAACTTTAAATTTTGATGAAAGTTCGATCTTTTTCCAACTTTTTTTGTTGGGGGTGTACTTAGGAAAAACTCTATCAGACAATGCTGGATCATCCCTTGTTCGGATCAAATTAGGATGGTGGGGAAACTTAATGCTTATGTTTACTCTTGAAACAAAAACGTAAAGATTTAAGTTTGGTGTGTGAAAACTCCATGATGGAGCATATGTTTTCTGAGGAGCCCTAGCCGTCTTTCGAACGAAATGTGATAGGTTTGCACTTATCATTGAGAATCTTTAGCAAGATACATGAGTCATCTACCCACTGCATCTACCCACTGCACATTTTTGTGGCATTATTTATCTGTTTATTTTGACAGTAATTTTAGATGAGCGTTTAATTTTGTTTGAAACCAGCTCTATGCTCAGTTGGGTCAAGTTTTATCTAGTAACTTCTACAGTATATCCCTACGATGTTGAAATCAAGTTTCTTTATTTGCTATATCCAAACAAGTTTGTTTATTGATGATACAGTGCTAGAATATAAGTTCAACCATCTTGTATTATAACAATCATATTTTCTGATAATTGATAGCAGCTATGAACACAAATTTCTTAAATCTTTGTTAAGTTGCATTGAAGAATGAACTTCATAAGAGTCTAGAACTCAAGATTTTCATTTCTTCCCATGTTGCCGATTCTCGCCGAAATTCAAAACATCTATCCTTTTTTCTGAAATGCCTTTGTTTATACAATTCTATTGCAGTGACTGCCAATGGCTGCTGTGACTGCTTCACACTTTATCTCAACTAGCTCGCATGCCAAATATGAGCCAGGCACTGAATCAGAGCCTAGAGCCTTTCAAATCAGAAGGATACCATACTTGAGGAGTGAAACCTCAGCTTATCATGGGCTTAGGGCACAGAATCCGGTGAATTTGGTTCAGATGCGAACAGATGCAAAGATCACCTCTAGGCGAGGTAGGAGGGTTTCAAGAGATTGTAGACCTTCAGCAGTCATCTTATGTGGAACTGGTATGAACATAATCTTTGTTGGTGCTGAGATGGCTCCCTGGAGCAAAACCGGGGGACTTGGCGATGTTCTTGGAGGATTGCCCCCGGCCATGGCGGTTAGCATTTACATTCTCCTCTGTACATTAAACTGATCACTTTGTATGAATTTCTAATGTTATTTATTTTCGTTTAGGCAAATGGACATCGTGTCATGGTAATATCCCCTCGTCACGATCAATACAAGGATGCATGGGATACAAGTGTCATAGCTGAAGTATGTATAACCTGAAAGATAGATTGTACAGTTGGGGATACAAGTGTTACAGCTGAAATATGTATAACCTGAAAGATTGATTGTATAACTTCCCATTTTTCTAGATAAAAGTTGGGGATGAAGTTGAACAAGTTCGCTTTTTCCACTGCTACAAAAGAGGTGTTGATCGAGTGTTTGTCGATCACCCCATATTTCTGGAAAAGGTTTGTATTTACTGCATCTACTATTGACAAATTTTGTATTTCATCTGCTAAATAACATGGGGGTTTCAATATGATATTTAAGGTATGGGGAAAAACTGGTGGAAAAATCTATGGTCCTGTCACAGGAACTGATTATCAGGATAACGAGCTTCGGTTCTGCCTCCTGACTCTGGTAAGTGGCTTTCCTTATCGTAAACTAATAAAAATTTTTGCTGTGGATAGAAAGCCATGTATCTTTTGAAGCAAATGAAAGGTCTAAAGTTAGTTAAGAAATGTCATTATTATAATACAATAAGGCCTAATATGTTAAGAAATGTCATTATTATAATACAATAAGGCCTAATATGTGTTGGTGTAGCAAATCGAGGGAATGATAGT